TATTTGTCTTTAATATGATAATTTTCCTGAAGTTCAATAATTTCCTTTTGAATTTGACTTAGGACATCTGCAGCATCACATTCTAACGGATTTTGAAACAATCTAATTTCCTGAGCACTGGAATCCAAATCAGCGAATCGCTTCCGAAATTGTTCTTTCAAGCCTGAAATGACTAAATTTGCAAACGAGGAAGGAAATTCTGCTTCACCCTTTTTATGCAACTGTGCAAAGTTACAACTTTTCACTTGGCTTTCCAGAAGTATCAACTTTGCTCTGAATGCCTTGACAAGTGCAAATAAATCACAGACTAAGTTATTTTCACCCTGCAACTTTAAATTCAAATTGTTCATATGGTTCACAAGATCAGCAAAAAATGCTAATTTCCAAAGCCACTCGGTATCTGATAAAAGTGGTTCGTGAAGGTTTTTCTCAGTAAGAAATATATCAATTTCGTTCCTGAGCTGAAGGAAGCGCGAAAGAACCTTTCCACAGCTAAGCCATCGAACTGCAGTATAATATGTCAGGTCAATAAGCTCGGAATCACATTTACCAGTACTCATTGGAAAATTAGTTCAATTGGCGCATTTCTGCACAATTCTTTCGCGGGCCGTAGTTTGGAGACCCTTGGCCTATACGAAAGAGGAACGAAACTTGAAGACACGTAACTGAAGTAAGCATAGCGTACACATTCACATTTGAAATCCCTTTTGTGCCGCCTAGCCGCATGATAAGATTAGGACAGCATTGCAGTTTTGCCTGCGGGATCTAGTTTCATGATTACAGTCAATCAAAGACCGCAATTATTCCAGCTCTTGACGAGGCGAAAGGAAGGGAATTCAGGTCCTTCAGGTCCATCTCCTGCCGAGAGATGCATTGGTCTATCCTAAGCCCAATGCTTTGCGGATTTTCTAGCGGAGGAAGTTATAACGTCTCATAGTGTGGGGTCGGTATAGCAACGAGGCGAAAAGCTGGACGACGGGTTCGATTCCCGGCAAGAGCAAGAGATTTTCTCTTCTCCGTAGCTTCCAGGCCGGCTGTGGAACCCGTCCACTCTCATGTGCAATTGGTAGCGGGAACTGCTTCATCAGGGTGTGAAGCTGACCACTCGTTTCCATCTAGTGCTGTGGTCAAGAATGGTGGAACTACACCTCCACTCCACCATACACCATGCCGTAGTGCTTAATTAGTTAAGTACGGGACAAGTTTACCTTACCTTAACTTTACAGCCCTAAGGTTGTCCGTCGAAAGTTAACCGACGTTTCATATTCAGGGTTGAATAAGCCGAGCGAGAAACCAGTGTGAAAGCAAGTGGCGAACAGAACTCTGTGACATGTTCCTCCGCAACGTCGGTTGACTTTCAATGGACTACTCGTCGTTATATTTCATTAGATATGGTACACTTCTTAACTAACGCTGTGAGAACCTCAAGTCCTGCATGATGTCAAACAAAGTCGAGGGTTAACAAAAACAAGTAAAAATCCTGAAGAATTCTATCTTTTGGGATGCAACGCCGTGTAGTCCGTCGAAAGTCAGCTTATGTTTCGGAGGAACGTGCTGCTTCCATCTTTAGTGTTGAAGAGTAAGCCAGCGTTTGTTATATGATAGTCCACGTAGGATATGTGGTAGATGAAAAAACAATGGCGCACAATTTCTCCAAACATTTCTGTTTTCCCTTTACCAATTATCGTTACACCAATGCTACGGGATCATTCATCATCAGGAGCTTGTGCAATATGGCAGTTTGAGGCAGTAGTGCCGAGGTACACTCTCACTCCAGTGCTACTACTAAAAAAAACACTATCTGACATCAAGGGAGGAACATAGACTGAGGGTGTTTGAGAACAGGGTGTTGAGGAGAATATTTGGACCGGAGAGCGATGAAGTGACGGGAGGTTAGAGGAAACTTCATAATGAGGAGCGTCATAGCTTGTACTCTTCTCCAAGTATAATTAGAATGATCAAGTCAAGGAGGATGAGGTGGGCAGGGCATATAGCACGAATGGGGGAGACTAGGAATGCGTATAGGATATAGAAGGAAAGAGACCACTGGGAAGACCAGGGCGTAGGTGGGTGGACAATATTAAAATGGATCATAGAGATAGGATGGGATGATATGGATTGGATTGATCTGGCTCGAGATAGGGACCAGTGGAGGGCTCTCGTGAACAGGGTAATGAACCTTCGAGTTCCATAAAATGTTGGGAAATTCTTGAGTAGCTGCAGAATTGGCGACTCCTCAAGGAGGACTCAGCTCCATGAGTAAGTGCAAGGTTCTGAATATTTCTTGAGAAGTTAATAGTTACTCAGTCAGGGAATTTCCCACGCGTTTATGGAACCCAGACGAATCCCGTTCACATGCTAAGTATAACATCTCTTCCCTCCCTCTTTTGAATATGTGTGTGTGCGTGCGTGCGCGCGCCCGTCTGTTTCTCATGTACCTCGGGTGTGCTTCCCGCAACCTACCCCGGATTCGCTGTAGACCAGGCATGTCAAACTCATCTTGTACAGAGGGCCACCTCAGCCCTATAAATAATAGTCCAGGGCCGCACTTCAAAATAGAAATATGCATTAGATTTTGATACAAGGAAATTTAATTCTATTTATTATTTAGGAGTAATTTCAATATAATTACCTAAAGTCACATATCTTACAGTTTTAAAAAGCAAGAGAATACAATTTTTGGCAAGTATCAAACAACTTTTCAATATGTAAAAAGAGAGCTTACACAAGAAATTGTGTTAGAAATAGCAAAACATTGAATTTCCTGCAGCCTGATAATTTATGTCTGCGTGAGATTTCCTGCCTTGTGGTCTGCTGGAAAATTGTCTTTACAAAAAAATATTTCTACTAAAATTTTAATATCAATTAGCTGTAAAAGTTGAGGGGCCGCACTTTGTGGCTATGGGGGCTGCATGCGGCCCGCGGGCCGCATGTTTTACACGGTTGCTGTTGACGATGACAACCAGGCGTTACTAACCGAAAAGCGTCTTTGCTTAAGCAAATGGCAGATGGCAGAAGTGTAGCTCGTTCGTGAGGCAGTGAATTTAGATATACGGGTGTTCCTGATGTTATGATTATGATGCCAATTTATTTTTCCACCAATTTTTTTTTAATTGACACTATTAGTTTTGAGTTTGTTTGAATTAGAAACCAATTTCTCAGTCCATTTCATTTTCTGGCTGTCGTCCTTCCTCTGAAATAGAGACATCCCTGGCTGCTTTACTTTTGTATGCATATCCCGTTTGTTACCTTGTACTGGGAAAGACATGTTTAATGGGCATTTCGAACGCATATTCTCGACAATGTTTCTCATCATTAGTAGTTTATTTGTGCATATTGCATTTTTAGTATCAGTGGTTGATATTTATTTCAAATCGCCAATAGTTCATAACATTAAACCACAGTCCAGTCCTCTAGAAGCTCCTGCACGCAGGCTTGTTTTAATCGTTGCTGATGGTTTACGTGCTGATTCCTTTTTGGGGGCAGATGATTTATTTAAAACGAATGCCTCGCACCTGAGGTATGCAGCAACAGAGAAGTTAAGGCATTATTGTGTTATAATTAATGAACATAACCTAAATTTTTTGATAACTTGGCTGGTTGCAGGCATGTAATTGAGGAGAGGGAAGCATGGGGCGTCTCTCATACCAGAGTACCAACAGAATCGCGCCCTGGATATGTGACATTAATTGCTGGATTATATGAGGACCCATCTGCTATAGCCAAGGTTAGAAATTGTTGCCATGAGTTATTTTATTCTTATACTTTTTAATGAACTTTTTATGTCAGAATGGAGTGTGTCTTTAAAACGGTTACAGTTGCTTCGAGTAGGTTAGACTGGTTTAACTTAGGGTTAGTAATTTTAAATAGAACCTAAATTCTTGGACAGTTTAGGAGGTTTGAATAGATTGGAATTACACATTAGATGCAGTAACTGTTTATAAAAGCACAGTAGACCACTGTAGGTCGCGGTGCAAGGGCCGAGAAGGCCTACCCCTTATACAGCTGTTAATAAACTTAAAATCCAGTGACATGTGTACACAATCAATATATTGTTTAGTCACTGCATATTCTAGGTTGTGATTCCATATACTTGCCCAGTTTACTTCTTGACCCTGAAGATGGAAGCAGCATGTTCCTGTGAAATGTCAGTAAACTTTTAACAGATTACATAGTGTCACATCTCAAAAGAGAGTTCTCCTCATAGTCACCAATCCGAGAAACTCAGATCTAACAAAGAGTACACTTTTGCCCAACAGTTCTCCAGGAACTATCCAGAACATTCTTGAAATAGTATGTTTTATCTTTCATGTCATGCCTGTAAATACAGTCATAGTGCAGGCCATTCACTATATGGTTAAAAAATAAAGTATTTATCGTTGTATGTTGTCTATCCTTTCGTTTTATTACTGTTTATTCTTTATTTATTATATTTTATTTTTTATAGGGTTGGAAAGACAGTCCAGTGGAATTTGACTCTGTTTTCAATGAAAGTCGGTACACATGGTCCTGGGGAAGTCCTGACATACTTCCCATGTTTGCCAAAGGTTTGTTGTTTTAATACGTAATTTATCGAAGTACTTAACTTTATTTCTCTGAAGACATAAGATTAAGGCTATGTAAGGATGTAATCTTATGTAGCTTGGTAAAGAAGGAGTGAAGTTTTGGGTATCCATAAGATGGAAGAACCATGTTTATATCCAAAATGTTTATTTCTATCTACCAAACTATACGTTGCAGGAAACAGTAATTTTAATATCCACCACAGTGAGAACCTCAAATGTCACCCTTGAAGACTTCTTTAAATGTAACCCTGCCTACCCTTGCTGCAACATGCAAATGGTAGCAAGTCCCTGGGATTGCATTGTTACCTTATTTTTAGATCTTCCTTGGTATGTATTAATAAATTTATAGTATTTTTTGGTCATGGAAATACCACAGGAGCATAATGTTGCCATTTGTGGATAAGAAGATGAAATGACTAACACAATCTAAGTGCAACTTAAAAGCATCTCACAGATGTAGTATGGCTGTTTCACCAAAGCAGCCTTCTATGTCTCAGAAGCATTGTTAGTTAACAGTGAGATAAACCGTTCATATTTTTGTTCAGGTGCAAGTGGAAACCATGTTTATATAGACATGTATGGCTCTGCAGTTGAAGATTACTCTGGAAGAAGATCCACAACAAGGTTTGATACATGGGTGTTCAGGAAGGTTGAGGAATTTCTGAACCGTGGCAAGACAGATGCTGTTCTTAATTAAAAACTTAATGAATATAAAATTGTATTTTTCCTACATCTTCTTGGACTTCATACAGCTTCTCATACACATAAACCGTATTCAGTGTAAGTGTTACAGAAGTGAGTGTTTTGAGTCATACTCCAGTTACTTTGCCCTTTCAGCCTTCGGTATGTGTTAGATAGTAGATAGCTTGCAGGTTCCAAAGCTGTTGTGGGCGTGATGGTGATTCAGTCTTGCCAAAAATCAAATCATAGTTTTCCGCTCCATGGGCAGACACTGGTCCATCAGTAAGTACAGTAAACTGTGGGTTATCCTGCCTGAAGTGCTAATTCAGTGATCAAAAATTTCAAAGGAAATTTACCATTCTTATAAGTTACTCAAAAACATACTTGCAGTGTACATATATTCACCCTTCATTTAGTAGTTCTTGCAGCCACCTGTAGCGCAGGTACCTGCCTTTCCTTGTGATGCAGTATAGTATATATGATTTAAATCTATCATCCATCAGTCCGCCTTGTTACCTAGAAAGACAACTATGTAATGTTGAACACTGGGTTCTAGTAGCACTCCTGTTATGGAAATATTATAAATTCACAATTTATTATTGTCCTTCCATGTATATAGATTTTGAGATTTTTATGGCAGTGAATGTTCAGATTTTGGTATTCTGGGTTGTGACACCTTATAGCCTTGTAGGCAGGTACTGACATTTCAGAAAACCGGACCAGTGAAGGCCTCTCGTGAACACAGTAATGAACCTTCAGGTTCCATGAAATGCTGGGAAGCTCTTGAGTAGGTGCACAATTGGAAGCTTCTTAACAAGGGCTCAATTTCATGTTGCCTACATTTTTGGAGCTGAAGATGGAAACATTTCACCCCCACAATATCAGTATCTGCCTGCAAGACTGCATGGTGACACAGTCAAGAAGACTAGATTCTGAAGACTTCTTCAGTCTATTTTTGCCTCTGTCCCGTTTGCATTATCCTTTAAGTGCTGAAGTGCCACGTTTGTGACTGGTGGGTAAGGTCGTCGTGGCCAAAGTATCCCGTTTTGGCCAGTCAGGCATTTAAACTCCGCTAGGGGAAGTGCGCGCACCTGCCGCTAGTAGAAGCGCATGCACAGTCCTAAATATTTATTTTTAAATGTAGTAATTACCAGACAGACTTGAGTAAAGCCCTATAGAAAAAATTAAAATGATACCCAACTGAACAACAAAAAGAGTATACGTATGAGTTATGCCCAAACTCATCCACGAGCCACTACTTTTATTGCAGATTCTGCAGAATAATTAGTTAAAAATATATAGTAAAATTCGATGTACATACCTTTTTTGTTGTTATCTGCTTGATGTATACAGGGTGTCCCAGGAGGAATGTGCCAAACTTCGGGAGGGTATTCCTTATGTTAAAGTATGCCGATATAACCCAAAACACCTATGTCCAAAGTCGAACGGTTACGGAGATAATGGCCCGAGAAAAGTGTGGTCTTCTAGCGGGTCCACGGATTATACCTATCAGCTGAGAGGAATTATCTCTGTTTGTCCTTGACTGCCGTGATTCATCCTATCCGTGCTTATGGAGTTCGCTTTATCAGAACGCGCAGTCAGCACGTTACGTCATCGCTTACCATTCATGTGTCATGTACAGTGCTTGGAACTCTTAACGACAACTTTGAGATGGCATGCGAGTTTTTTGTACTTCAATTTTATGGCTTCATGTCACTCACAAGTTAGTTTGATGTTACGTACATTATTAACGTTACAGAATCCACATATTCCTGCCAGTTTTAATATCTATTTTGTAATCAACAAGTGTGTAACCCCGGTCAAAGTTTGACACTTCTCTGGCCATTATCTCCGTAACCGTTCAACTTTGGACATAGGTGTTTTGGGTTATATCGGCATACTTTAACATAAGGAAC